TCATAAAGGTAAGACCATATGAGTTTATTATAACGATTGTAACAATGAATTTGAATAGACTTATCCATCTTTTGGTTTTTATTTCATGCCTATTAAGTGTTTTTATAACGGTTTTGTCGAATATCGCTGTTTGAAGAATTTCTGTCGTATATTTGCTGCTATGGTTGTAAATATATTATTTTTAATTTTTGTATGATTTTCTCATATTATTAGACAAAGTATGTTTTTGTAGATACACAATATATAAATATGTCTAACATTGATACGAGAGGAGTAAAAAGAGGTGCATGCACAGCTTCCCGTGCAGAAATTAAAATGTGGGCCTGATAGGGTACTGGACAGTTTTCCCGATCTCTGGTGTGGCTCTGGGTAGAGAAACTGACCAGTGCCCAACTAGTGTGTGACGCTGTTCCCGACCAATGCCCTACTTAGGGAAAAACTGGTCAGGGCCTCGTCAGTTTTTCTTAAAATTGCCCTATTTTGTGAGGCTAATTTTATTCAAAAGAAATTACAATAAAATTACTGTAATTAAAAATATTATTATATTAGAAACATAATGAACATATTCATTATATATACAACATATTTATACATAACATAATAAGGTATTATAGTCATTTTGACTAATTTAAAAGTGAAAATGATAAAAATAATATAATTTCAAGAATAGAAAAACTTAAAAATTTTTTAAAAATATAATTTTTGGTTTTATGATTAATTCATTTTTCTTTTGGAGGTTGTCGCTCCTTTCTGCCTCCTTAATTTTATAATATTAATAAAGGTTATAATTTTTTATTTCAAATGTATAAGTACCTAATAATTAATATTTATTTAAAAAATATTTTATTCAAATTTATTAATTATGTTTAAAAAATAGTTATTAAATATTGAAGGTGTTAAATTTAACAATCTCTCCGAATAATTTTTTCACTTTAAGCTTATATAATATAAAATAATTATTATTATTAAAATAATATAATATAATATATATATATATATATATATATAAACCAAATGATAAATTCATCCTATAAATTAATAATTATTAAAATATTCATTAAGTATAATTTATTAATAATTGTTTATTAATTATTATTTTTTAAATTCATAATTTTTATTTTTAAATAAATGTATAATAATTAATTATTTAATAACTATTATTATTCGTTATTTATAATTTAGTTGTTATTATTAATAAATAAACTTTATTATAATATTGTGTTTAAAGAAAAAAAATTATATGTATTTTCGTTTTTTAAATATATTACCATAATTTTTTTGTAAAATGTTTTAAAGGAACACGCTTTTTTAACTTAAATAACTGTTTTAAAAAAGTTAATTTTAAAAAATTAAATTTATTTACATGCTTTTAAAACGAGGAAAACTGTCGAGGCCCTGATCAGAGCCCTATTTTATATCTAGTGAACACCCCACTTAGGGTTTTGGCCAGAATTTCTGGTCAAACCCATAAGATAAAAAAATTCTTAAAAATGTAGTATAATTACTCCGTTTAATTAATTTCTTCAATTGTTTATAATTTTATTATGGGAACTAATTTAAAAAACTTAATTCATTTACACTTTATTCAAACGAGGAAAACTGTCGAGGCCCTATTTAATATCTAGTGAACACCTCACTTGGGGTTTTGGCCAGGAATTCTAGTCAAACCCCTAAAATAAAAAAATTATTAAATAACTAAAATAATGATTGCCTTTCATTGTTAATAGCTTCTACAACAAAAAGGAATTCTAAAAACTTTATTAAAAAAAAAAAATTTTAATAGGAAAAAATGTCGAGGCCCCGACCAGAACCCTGTTTTAAATAGGGCAAAGTGGGGCATTTTCTGCACGGGTTACGAGCGTGATCCGGAGACAAACCGGTCAACTTATGGGTACTGTGGATGTGTTCCAATGAAACATATCGAAGGTAAAACAAAAAATGAATAATTTTTAATAAAACGATTTTCGTTAGCAGGGTGTCTACTAACCAAGAAATAGCCCGGAATTTAATTTAACCGGGACAAACCAGGAATAAGCCAGGAATTTGATTCCAACCCGTGAATTTTTCACTAAATTGAAAAATTTTTATTATTTTAAATTGTTTTAAACAATCGCTTTTTATTTCAATTTTTATATGTATTTATACTGTTCTCTAAATTTGAATTAGTTAAAAATAATTAATTTCATAATATGTAAATAAATTTTTTAAAAATTATCGAATTAATAGAAATTTTGTGAAATTTGTTAAACAATTTCATTAGAAACTTTTTAATAAATTGAATTTTCAGAGTATTTTAATTTAATATGATAAATAATTGAATTTTATAAAGAGTCACATTTTAATGTATTTATGTTTCTTAGGGCGAATATTAATAATTAAAATTATTAAAAATAATGGGTTCATTTGTTAATTATATTTATAAATAAAATTTAATTTAATATTAACATACCTCAAAGTAATCTACAATTGGAAGGAAAGCATCTGGGACTTCATTGATAAAAGAATCGAAGGTGTCTAGAACTGCGTCTGTTGGAACAAATGCCAGTGCACACATCATTTGCGCTGCTTCTTTAACACTTCGGTCATTTTCATCATTATATTGTTGCTGTAAGCCTTCCGACTGAATACGGCGAAATACATTTTGACACATATGAAACAAGCAACATTTAACAATATTACCAAAGTGACTTTGAACACTATTTATGATCGCTACTTCAAAGTCTGACATAATGAATTGAGGATGTATAATTGGAATTCCAAAGCGTGTTGATTGTTTTAGAACAACATCAAAAACTTTTGAATAAGCAACTTCCTCCTTACTTTCCAAAAGTGCATATACAAATGGAAGTGCTATAACTTGCTCTTGCCCATTAGTAACTTGTAATGCGGACCCCAAAATAGCAAAGACTTGGAAAAATATCTGTGGAGCCGTCTTGAATGTGCCATCAACAAACCAAGTCTTAGATTTCATAAGTTTACTTATATTTGCTCGAGTTGAAAAAACAATTATTCTACCACACGTTAAATTAAATTCATTGTCTTCAAAGGAATCGTACAATAAGAAACTCTCTCCTGCAAGTGTATTTTTAAATTCTTCTGGTATATTCGTTAAGTCTTCTATACTTTGAGGGTTAGGTGGCAAATCTAGTAGGCGTTCTCGTTGAATAAGTTTTCGAACATTTTGCCTATCGGGAAGTTCTGCTAAAACACCCGATGGTACGTTTTGCAAACACATAATAATCTGTGCTGGTGGTGCTTCTGGATTTTCTGTGGCTTTTCGTTTAATACTTCCAATCACTTTCAAAGCGCGTACTTCCTCCTGATTTGGAGCGTGATTCGTATGAGGTGATTTATTGGGCCCTTTGCGTACTGTAATCTCATTTCCTTCACTAATTGTAATTGCTCGAGCATTACATGTTAACTTGTTCCTACACCTCCAGTAAATAGAGCCTTTAGACTCAGAGTGTTTATAATACAAGTATCCATCAATTTCTAAAAAACGACTTCTACCTTTTATTATTATCTGAGGCATATTCAATACTTTTAAATTTAGCTAAACTTCACTAATAATTTATCAAAAAATATAATGTATAACTGAAAATTTGACGTATCAAAAAATATAATGTATAACTGAAAATTTGACGTATCAAAACATTAATTAAAAAACAACTGAATTATAAATATGACGTTAGCTGAACAACCGTTTTTATTTCTTTTGGAACTAATTTTGGAACAAATTTTGGAAAAATGAATACCTTGGTAAAAATGTACTTTGGGAAAAAGAAGTTTTTGGAACTTTTGGATTGGAATTTTTTTTTTGGAACTTTTGACTCCCTACCATTATAAATAGTAAAATTGCTTGCAGAAATTTAATTATTATTAATATACTTTTAATAAAATTAACTCAAAACAATTTAATTATTTATAAAAACTCTAATAAAAATTTTGGAAACCATTTGTAGATTTATTTATGTTCGAAATCGAATAAATTTAAATTTTTTTAAGAAAAAACCGGGAAAAATTAGGACATTTCCAAAAAAAACCGGGAATTTTGGTAAACAAAAATAGTAGACACCCTGGTTAGGTTTTAACAAAAAAGAAGTAATCCTTGAATTGTTTAAGTTTTGCAGAAATTATTTTTAGAAAACAAAACGATTGTGAGTGAAGCTGAAGTCTATCATTCTATGGAAATTAGTGATTTTGAATTTGTTGGTGCTCAAATCGATGGTTCTGAATCTATTTCTAAAAACTTGGAGGATGACCTTGTGGAGGAGAGCTTAGCGGCAGTAGTTTCACCGCAAGACAATAAGTTTTCAAAAAAAAATAGTCAACTAAAAAAAAACCGAGACGCTCGCACTCATAAAAAGACTAAAATCTCAACTCTTGATGCAACAGAGAATGTAAGAATTTATTTATAATGTAATGTGTAGACAGTTAAACCTTCTTAAGGGAAAATACGCTAAACAATTGAATCAAAAGTTAGTTAATTTTCAAACTTTCTGGTTTTGAATAAAAAAAAGCTTTCAGTTAAAAAGTGAACAATTTAATTTTTAATGTTTTGAGCCATTAACAGTTTTATTTGTTGAAATGTTATTCTTTCATCAAGTGAAATTTTAATATGTGTAAGAATAGGATATTTGACACTAACGTGGTAATACCATTTTTATATTTAATACTAATAATGGATTAAATAATATAAAATAAACATTCTATGTATTTGCTTTTTTATTTTAGATCAATCTAAAGAATCTTATTCCTATTGCATTCAGCTTCAATATTCAAGAAGCGCTAGACAATGGATATCTATTACCATCTCAAGAAAATGTCATTATTCGCTACACTTGTCGAAATATGAAATCGAGAATGCGAACTTCTATTTCTGACATCAGGCAAATGGCAACATATTTGCTAGATAGCTATCCAGTTCTTAAAAGCAATACGGTTATACGAATCAGCCAAGTATAAGCCAACAAAATACCTAGGTCTTTTTTACAAAAAACAAGGATTTCTAAGAGTATTAAAGTTATAATTCTTGCGGAATCGTGAATTTCTAATGTTCTCGCATTTTATTTTATTTCTTGTTTTAGTATATGTGTACATGTAAGAGTCATGCATTTAATATAAAAATTCACTTTTCAGAAAGACATGGAGGCCAGGATGAGAAAATGTCTTCACAATGCCAATAGGCCTTGCTCTGATTTCAAAAAAAATGAATTAACAAGAGTAAGTGTAACTGAAGCTTGTGATCAGATGCGAAAGGAAATGGAAAAAATTGATAGAAGACATAATATTACTTTACTAAAAACTTGGTTGAATTTCACACGATGTTCAAGAAATAGTGAAACCAGTAAGTGTACAGCGAAAGAGATTCTTGAAAAATACCCAGCCTTAAAAAAGAATATCTTGGTTAGTAGTCATTAATTTTCTCTTATATTATTATGTACACTTATGTATTAGTTCATAGAAAATATTTTTTTATCATAGATTGGTCATGATTATACATCTTTTCTCTTTTTATGTTAGCTCTTTTGGGAATTCGGGAACCTTGTCAACATGAGTGAAAATTTGTTAAAGAAAAATTGGTTGGAGGCATTGCCAAAAGTATGTTTTCTATTTATGACGGAAGAAGATTTATTAAAATTAAATCCTGATGGACAAGCTCTAAGCTTGATCGAGATTCTCCCTCAGATATTGCCCAGCAAGGAAAAGACAGAAAAAGTCTTTTGAAAGTCTATGAAGTAAGAGTTAATAATATTACCAATAATAATTCCTAAACCTTAAAATATTTCTTTAATTTAATCATTAAAAGAATTGAGATTCCACTGAATTGTAAATTAAATGTGACCTAAAATCAATGCTTTTAGAAAACAATTAAATTAAATTGAAATAAGTACAATTTTACAATTGTATTTATTTAATTGAATCGTGAATTTTGAAAAGGATTCGAATCGATTTTTGGAAATTTTACATGACAGGGAAAATAATTTTTTAAACATCTTTAATAAAAAATTTACTTTTTGTCATAAAATTCAAATTATTTCGATTTTTTAATGTAAAAAAATACTTAACTTTTAATTAATTAAATATTGTAAAATTTTATTGAAAATAATTGATTTTTTAAAGTATTTCATGAAAATTAAATTTTGAACAATTTTAATTGCAAATTTTTAGAATAATTAAATTTTTTAAAATTGTAATGCAAAATAAAAAAAAAATTAGTTTTAAAGAAAGCTTATAAAAAAATTATTTCAAAAATGGAATTTTCTATTATAATTTTTTTAAATTTATTCAATAAATGAAATGAAAAATGAAATGAATTTTATTATTATCAAGATTTACAATTACATATTTCTAAAAATTTCGAAATATCTAAAAAAATGATTACATTATTATTTTTTTAAAAATCAAATTTTTTATATTAAAATTTGGAGGAACAAAATTATTTTCAAAATTGTCATTTGAAATTCTCCAAAAAACTTATTAGATTTTTAAATCGTCTAAAAGTTTTTCAAAAACCTGATTATTTTTAAATATTTTTAAAAAATTAAATTATTGTCGAATAATTTTTTTAAATTTTAATTATTTGCAAATTTTTAAATTATCTATTGTTATAAAATATATTCGCTGCAAAATAAGACACCTATTTCGCAGTGTTGTTATCATTCAAAATTTTATTCAAAAAACTAAGTTTAAGATTTTTTTATTATAATTTTTAAAAATTGAAATATTTTCAATATTTTTGGTTTTATATTTTCAATATTTCACTTTAATAACTATTAGAAGAAACCCCACTTATTTAAAGTCTCATTTACTTAAAGTCGCGTTTATTTAAACCCGTTTTTGCTTCAGTTATTTGTAGTTAGAATCAGCCCTAACCTCACTTATTTTAGCTCATGCGCAGTACGCGATTAATGGAAAGATACTTACATTCCCATTGGTTGAGTTCAAACAAAACCATCCAATCATGTCAATTTATCGAATTACGTCATCAAAATAGGTTATGTCGACCAAAATACAAATAAACGCGACACTTCGTGTCGAATTGCGTGGACCATGTTCAAATAAGTGGGGTTTCAGTGTAGTTAACTCTCAGTGCGTATAAAGTTTAAATTTCTTAAATTATTCAAATTCCTGTAGAAAAAGTAATCACAAGTTTAAAATTTTTTTTTATTTTGTAAAACTATTTAATTTTTTAATAATTAAAATTAGAAAGAAGAGATTTTCAATAGGCTAAAGCAACATTTTTTGCGCCTTAAAGTCTATCCGAGGCCTGACAATTTTAACATACATTATATCAATATCTGTTATTAATAAAAGATTTTTACAGGCCGGTACTCCAATATTGTCTACAGTGCCGGAAACCAATACTGAGCCTTATTTAACCGGGATTGGAACGACAGCATATACCAACCTTCAGTTGATGTGTTATGTTGACGCGGAACCACACTGAGAAAAATAAAAGATTAAATATAACCAAGTTTTAGTTAAAAACAACCGAGCGATGCTGCTAATATAGCACTTGCAATGTGAATTGTTTGCAGTAACCGATCGAATACGATTAAAAATTTCGGTAGAAACTAGTTAAGACTACTCGGGTACGGTAGCTTCTTTCTCTGTTACTGTAACTAACAGTTTATGATTAATGCTCGGTAAACGTTAGTTAACTTACTCGGTTATACTGTAGCCACCTAAAAAGGCTACAGTAATAATATAAACTTGAATATTGTAGTCAATTAGCTCTGTTATAATAAAGAAACCGATTAATTAATTTTAAACCACCCAACTCGATTAAAATATTTTTTGATCAATAAAATATTCCCTTGATAAAAATTATTTTCTTTTATTAAAAAGAAATCTATTTGATTAAAAAATTATGTTCTAATTTAAAGATAACCAAAATTTTCTGTAAATTAAAATTCTTTTTTATAATCAAACAAATCTCTTTCAAATAGAATAAAATACTTTTAACCTCTTTAACGTGCATCGTGTAATATGTCATCGGGGATGTAAGGTTAAATGCGTTTAATATTCTCCATTTCATTTTTATTTTTATGTATCTATTGTAGATGAATTCTATATTTGATGGCTGCTGTAACATAATCAATAAAAATTTGTATCGCGTCGGTAGAAACCAGAATTGTAACAACACGACTCTCCGGAAAAGACGAAACGAAGTGACTGACTGACTGTGACTGACGATATGTCGCCTAGATATGTTTTCTCGGTTAAAATCTCACAACTGAACGTAATTACATGAAACTCGGTTAATATTAATCGCATAGTAATTGTTTATATTCAAAAAACAGATAGGTAACAACAACCACGAAAGTTTGTTTCCATTATGCACATTTCAGATTGGTTAAGACAATCCTTTGGAGGATTATTTTTAACAGATGTGTTTTAACCATCTCAGCTCGGTTGTGATAATCAGTATAACTTAGTTTCTTTTAACCATATCTTATTTATTTTTAAATACTTTTTTTTAACCGAGCTATTTCTACCACTCGGTTAAACGCAATTTTTCTCAGTGCACTCTTCACAACAACCGCGGCAGAAGCTGTACCTCTCCTAATTGCAACTTACTGGGTATTTAATATTGGTTTTCCAAAACCATTAAAGAGGCAATTAACTTTTTTATCTGCATTACTTTTTCGAAATAGATGTCAAGAAATTTTGTCAAAGGATTTAAATTCTTTTTCAACTGTCAAAAAGCTTGTCAAAGATGCAGAAATTAATTAATGTTTTTTAAAAATTGTTCTTAAATCAATATTTTATGGTAAATCATGACCATGCATAATAAATATTCTGTTTCATCCGTGTATTTGCATAATATATTAAATATATTTATATATTTATAAATAAAAAAATATTTGTAGAAAAGTCATAGGGCATAAAGTTTTTCTTTCTTTAAAAATTTATTTCTCCTAATTCCCTTATAACTATAATATATTTATTTATATTTACATCTCTTAGAAGGAGTTTACACCGTAAAGCCTTAAATATAAGCCTCCGCGAGCATAAACGGATATGCCTCCATGAGGATATACTTGCGTCTTCGCAAAGTGTTTGCCTGCAGCTGTGTTGTGAAAGAGTTTGCCTTGACCACGTGTTCGCGCAGGCGCAAATATATGCTCCTGGAGGTATATCCGTTTATGCGCGCGGAGGCTTATATTTAAGGCTTACGGTGTAAACTCCTTCTATGTGTAGTGTCTATATATATATTTATATTTATATATATATATATTATACGAGTGTCTAACAGTAAAAGCCAAGAAAAAGATTCTAGGAGATTTCCTTGCTTTTTATGACGAAAAAACTTATTTTACATACTTCAATAAATAGGCATAATACGTATTTTTAGAAAGAATTCATTACAATATTTTCATTCTTCAATTAAACATAAACAGTTATACTAAGAAAATAATAAACATAAATCATTTATTATTTAGCTAACAGTAAGTATGTATACTTAAAAGTTAAACAATAAACAAGGAACGAACAAATGTTTCTTAATATCAATTAGTTCAATTTATGTAAGGATCAATTTTGTATTTTTATTTAATCCACTTTTAATTAACTTAATTTTTTTAATTTAATAGAGTAGGGGAGGATGGGGCAAGGATAGTTAAGGGGCAAGGATAGTTAGTTGTTGTTATGCTTAGACGGCTTGCTCAAAAATCGCGTAATTCATAGTATATTCGCGTTTTAACACCAAAAGATGATTGTAAAAATTGCAAGTCAATCTGTCGCCATTTGCGAAGTTGGGAGATTATTTTTGAAAAAAGTCTGTTTTGCTAAAATGTCAACGTAATGTTTATCATATTGTTTTCTACATTAGAGTTTCAGAATATTTATTTACGTAAGTGTTTTCCGGAGTGGAATTTCCTGCTGAACACGAATATCGTATTTATTTTCAACTTAATTCACGTCATTTCTTAAAATTTAGAAAAAACAGAAATATGGGCTCACGGGGCAAGTATAGTTAGAGATAATACGGCACGGTAAAATCATGTTAATACCATTGAAAATTTTAAAAAAGTGTTTAATTGTTCTCTTTGGGTTGATATACATAATGGTGCGTAATTATATACGGAAAACGAAGCTTATGACCAAGAAATTCGTGGTCGTCTGAAAAAAATTGGTTAAACCTCTGATTCTAGTTCAGATGAATTTTAATACAATAATTGCAATTCAGAAAATGTTCCATACATATTTTTAATACTTGGGATATCAATATTGAATAGTCTAAATCCAGTAAAATGAAGAAAACAGAAATTTACTGATTTTCTATAACATTTTTAGCATTCGAATTCTTTTAACTATCCTTGCCCCGGTACTGGGGCAAGGATAGTTAAAAATTTTTGTATACTTTTTCATTCGTATCTCGTAGGAATTTGAGTCTACAGTAAAATAATGTACAGCAAAATTATAGCCAAATAACCAGGCTTTCCAAAAATACTTTTCATTTCCAGATACATAATCAAGTTTGACTGCTAGATCCGAAAAGGTCTTACCTAACTATCCTTGCCCCATCCTCCCCTATAATTATATTAATACTATATTAATATAATATCTATTAATTTAAACATTTTTCTTTAATTTCAAAATTATTATTGAACATAATATTTATTTTTTATATTATTTATTTAGATATGTATTTAATCTTAGAATTTCCACTAAAGCGAAATTTTATTTAACATAATTACTATTTAGTATAAAACTATTAGGCAAAAATATTGAAGGAAATAAATTAAGAAAATGACAGGTACATTTGATTCAACTCTACATGAAAAGTTAGAGAAATCTGTGGAGTTAATTTGAAATTTTTTCTCTGTGCTCTTGATAAATTTTAAAGTCAATAAATGCTCAGAAATATTTTCATACATCTAACACTTTATAAACAATTTAAAAAAAGTTCATTCCTGTTAAAAATATGTTTTTGGAATCAAAATATTATGACATAAAGAGGTTATGTTGACAAACTTGCATAAAATTTCTTTATCCAGATGGCACAACATGACAAAGTTGTAAATGTTACCAACCCAACATCCTAAAAATATTTATCGACCGGTAATACTCATTTTGAGCAACTTGAAGTTAGTCGTTTGTTCAAATTGAGTAGTACTCAAAATGAGATGCAACAAAAATGAGACAAAGTTTTTTCTGTGAATAATTAATATGTGTAACTTTTGTATAATTATTTTTTTATTAACATTCACTAAATTGTCTGGACTAATTATTGACTGTTTCTGACTAATTCCGGATTCACTAGTTAAAATTAACTGATTAATTTCGGAATTCATCGGACCAACTCCGGCGGTTTCACTAGTTGTTCACAAACCGTATAGAGTTAGGATTTTTCCGGATTAATTTTGGGTGACAAAAACCTGACCATAAAGTTACTTCAACATTTTTCAACAAAATTTTCAAAAAAGTCTTATTTTCCAAAATTTTTGATTTTTAAAAGTTTAATATCTCCGGTTAATATGGACAAAAAATGTTAAATTGGGGCTCAAAAGATGCGTCTAAAAAAACTCTTCAAAATTATGGAAAAACATTTATAGGTGTTCTAACATTTTTTTAAAGTTATGGGCAAAAAACGTTTTTTTTGTAAAATTAAAAATCCAAAAAAATTTAGTTAAACTTTATTAATCTATCACTAAGTACTCTCACTTTATGTCCGCAGGTGAGATCGACAATTTAAAAAAAATCCTCCCAAAAGCTCTTCATGATTTCGAGATATTTATGAAAATGTGATGTTTACACACATACACACACATACGGAATGACATTTTTTAAAAATGTCATTTTTGAACTCCTCAGGTCAAATAACTTAAAGACATCAAAAAATCGAACTCAAAAAATTTTGGTATTATACAATACTTCTTCTATGAGGAAGTAATATGAGGAAGTAATATTTGAATTGAAAGAAGAATCAAGTGAAGTTGAAATTAATGAAATGGTTTCTGAAATTCAAGAAATGTTAAAGAAAGCTCAAAATAAAACTGAAATAATTGTTAAACTATTAACAATGGCACCGAAAGGTTGGGGCCCTCGTAAATTATCAAAATATTTCGAGGTTTCTTATAGCTTAGCTCGCAAAGCCTTCGAACTTAACAAAACAAAAGGTCCTGGTTCTTCTCCGAATCCACGTAAAAGTACAACGACACAGTAAATTTAGTAAATGATTTCTATCATGCGGATGATATAAGCAGAGTCCTACCTAGTAAAAAAAATTTTATTTCCTACGTGAAGGATGGAAATCGTATTCATGTCCAAAAACGTTTATTGCTGGGAAATATAAAAGAATTATATGCTCTTTTTCAGAAGGATTATCCAGATTGTCAAATAAGTTTATCAAAATTTACTGAACTTCGACCTAAAGAATGTGTGTTAGCTGGCAGCAACGGAACACACTCCGTTTGCGTTTGCAAGATTCACCAAAATGTTAAGCTCATGATAGAGGATTCAACTTTAGGTGAATTAACTAAAAATGATACTAAAACATATTTTCTAAGTTTTTATAAAACTATTTTTTAAAAAATGATTTGCGATTCACCTTCATCTTCATATTTTCTACTTCAATGTGAAGATTGTAATGGAATACAAAATTTAATTGATATTTTGATAAATGTATTTGATAATCATTACATAGATACAGTGACATATAGAAGCCAGGTTTCAACTGACAAAACTGCTTTAGGGTCAAATTTTCTCAAAAAATCAAAGTTAGTCATGGGTCTTTCAATTTTTGTTAAACTTGGTATAAAGGTAG